AAAGGAGCACAGTGCTCATCCAGTTCCAACCCCCTGCTGTGTGCAGGTCGCCAGCCAGCAGCCCAGGCTGCCCAGAGCCACATCCAGCCTGGCCTTGAATGCCTGCAGGGATGGGGCATCCACAGCCTCCTTGGGCAACCTGTTCCACTGCCTCACCACCCTCTGGCTGAAAAACTTCCTCTCATATCCAACCTGAACCTCCCCTGTCTCACTTTAAAAACATTCCCCCTTGTCCTATCGCTGTCCACCCTCATAAACAGTCATTCCCCCTCCTGTCAAATATTGGAAGGCCACAATGAGGTCTCCCTGCAGCCTTCTCTTCTCCAAGCTAAACAATCCCAGCTCGCTCAACCTTTCCTCATAGGAGAGCTGCTCCAGCCCTCTGATCATCACATACTTCTGCAGTAGTTTGGGACGTGAAAAATTGCCATTTATGCCAGGCACAGAGCCTGCACTCTGGTCCTGTTTTGTATTCCTAGGGCAGGTAAATAGGAGAGGGTGTTCCAACCCTGCTCCAGTGGCTGTTTGTTTCGTCCTAGTTCTGATGCCCATGCTTCCTTGCTTTGGAACCAGTTCCTCATCTCAAAGGCCCCCTGGCCCTGCCTTCCTTCCAGCACTTTGTTCTCTGCCCTTGTTGGCTTTTGGAGCTGCTGTCACTTTCTCAGGGCTGCAAAATTCATCCTAGCTCACAAACCATTGCTGCAGGTTCCTCGGCAAAAATCTATGAGCTGTCAGTACACCTGTGAACATGTTGGATGTTGGTTTTTCTTATCCCCAGAGCTTCTAGGTAAAGAGCTGAATATTTGGTGTTGGAGCATCGCTGACCACCCAGCACGTTTATGGGTGCCCTGTCCCTGAAGGTTCCCAAGGCTGTCTTGGTCCATCGCTGCTTGGCAGCTCTGGATGAGCTGTGAGGGTCCTTCCAGCCCAGGCCTTTCCAGGATTCTGCCCTTTCTCCAGCTTTTAGCACACCACAAGCAAAGCAAAAGCCATTTGTCTTTAATTCTTTCGTAGTTTCTTTTATGTGCTTTTTCTCTTAGCCCTGTGTTTGTTCTGAAACCACCAATTTCAATAAAAGCTTAACACTGCTTCTTTACCTAATGAGGACGTTCACCACCACTGGAAGGCTATTCAGGGAAAGGCGGCAATCCCTGGACCAACTGCCTGTGCATGCTGCTCCAGAGAGCATCCTTAGAATGAAAATGTTTCTTTAAAAGCAGAATCCGTGCAGAAATAAAGGTACGTGGAACTGCACTTTGTTTTATCCATACGTTCACTCAGTTAATTCAGTGGATTTGCTTTCCTGAGATCCAGTAACTGCAGGGTTTGTGGTTAGATAGACTGAGGGACTTCATAGGAGCTGTTCTCCTTTCTTCTGTGGGACTCAGTGTCACATTCTGCACAGTAACAGGAGGGCATTGGGGCTGTATTGAACTTTTATGGCTCCGTGTATTTGAGGCAGCAAAGCTCCTGAGTCTTTTTGTAGCTCTCAGATCGTGCTGGCTTCACTTTCCTAAGGATGTTGTCTCTGTTGGTAAGCAAAACAAAAGCAAATCAAAAACCCACGTGCTTAAGGCAGTGTGCAGCAGTTGAAGTGCTGTAACTTGTGTGTGTGCTGTCACAATATTTGAATACATTTCAGCAGGACTGACTTTGCATCCTTCCTGCTCCGGAGCTGCCCCTGACCCAGCGATCCCCACTTTCTGCCTGACGCTCAGCGGTTTGTTGGACGGATGCAGGGCAAACCAGGCAGGTTTTCTTGGCTGCTGCAGCTGTTTGTCTTAGACCAAGGGTTGCTTTAAAAGGCACAGTAAAGGTGTTCTTCACTATTTTTAAAAACTGTGCTCCCTTCTTCCCTTCTGCAGCCCTGGAAGTTGCGCTTTCAGACCCGTACAAACCAGAATGTGTTGACAGCTTAAAAAAAAACACAACACGCACACACGAAAAAACAGAGAGAGAATGTTTAAGTCAAATCTACCGTAAATGATTATTCAGTATGAGCCCCTGCATATACAGTGGTTGGCTTGTTCGGTTTTGCAGAGATAAAAGGCCTTTTATCAGCCAGCCCTGCCTGCCCTCCCAAGAAAGAGGAGGGAGAAAGGAAATCTGAGGCTGCTCAGGCCACTGCGGGCCAGGAGTCCAAATGGCAGCTGCAGAGCAATAAAGGATGTGCTGCTGAGCTGGCAAACGTGTGCTGCAGGCAGAGGGGTCTGCATGTAGGATCGAGGAGTGAGCTGTGTGCTCAGCTCCCTGCTTGGGTAAATGTAGGAATGAATGGCGTGGGTCTTACAGAGGTGCATAGCCTGTGTAAGGGATGAGACTCCTCCGTGGGTGTAGGAATCACGGAATCACAGAATGGCCCAGGTTGGAAGGGACCTCAGGGATAATGAAGCTCCAACCCCCCCACCACAGGCAGGGCCACCAACCTCCACATTTCAGAGCAGCCCAGGCTGCCCAGGGCCCCATCCAACCTGGCCTTGAACACCTCCAGGGATGGACGGGGCATCCACAGCCTCTCTGGGCAGCTGTTCCAGCACCTCACCACTCTCTGAGTAAAGAAAGGTAGGAAACACCATTGCAAAGCACCGTGCATGAGCAGTTCTGGATTTCCATCCACCATACCTGTGTTTGGAATGCCATGTGTTGTGTTGGTGGCTGGGCTGGCAGCGTCACTGCTGTGAAGCAAAACAGCCCAAGTGTTGCTGGCAGTGCTCACGGGAATGTTAATGTCTGGATTGTTGCCTAGGTGGGGTTTACAACCAAATTGTGGAGCTTTGGGCTGGCAGACAAAGTGTTGCTTGTGTTAGTTATGTATATATACACACACGGAGGGATGGGAAGTGATGGAGGGATGGCTAGGGAGGGAAGAAGGGATGGGTAGGGATGGAGAGGGATGGATGGATGGATAGGGATGGATGGGTAGGGATGGATGGATGGATAGGGTTGGATGGATGGGTAGGAGTGGATGAATGGATAGGGATGGGAATGGATGGGTAGGGATGAATAGGTAGGGATGGGTGAATGGATAGGCTTGGATGGGTGGGTAGGGACGAATGATTGGATGGATAGGGATGGATGGATGGATGGATAGGGATGGATGGGTAGAGATGGATGGATGGATAGGCTTGGATGGATGGATAGGGATGGATGGGTAGGGATGCATGAAGGGCTGGATAGTGATTGAGGGCTACGTAGGGACTGAGGTCAGGATGCGTAGGGATGCACTTTCAGTACAGTACTAAACTGAAGCCAAAATGGGAAAGAAGTAGGAGTTATGACATCCATACTGATTATGTAAAGTTCATGTATGCAAGTAGGCCTCCTAATTGCAAGTATGAAATAGTGAAAGCATGCCGTGGTTTGGTCTCTTGCAACTTCATTGAAAAAGAGCTTGGTTACTAGATCTAAAAGTGTTGCAACTTCACTTTGTGCAGTAGTATTTCTGGTTTTGTACCCTGTTGGTTGAGCAGTGTTGGATTGCATGCTGCACTTAGTCTGTGTTACAAGGTTTGTATCAGGAGATGGAAAAAAAGGCTCAGCACAGCTTTTCTTAGTTCTGACTGCACACAAATGTGACTCAAAGCTTTTTTGTTGTTGTTTGACCTTCAGAAACCATGAAGAGACAACTTGAAAATAAAAAATAGGGCAGGTCACATGTTTTTGAGATGTGAAATTGGTGAGCTGTAAGCCTTCCTGGATCTGCTTCAGGTCAGGATGCCACCTACGTCTGTTTGCTTTTCAGTTCTCTATCCAGTTGGACTAACAGGAGGTTTGCATTTTTCCTGTTGTAGAATCAAGTGGTTTGGGTTGGAAGGGACCTTGAAGCCCATCTGAGGTTCCCAACACAGGAAGGACAGGGAGCTGTTGGAGAGGGTCCAGAGGAGGGCTGTGAGGATGATCAGGAGCACCTCCCGGGGGTGGATTTTTTTCAGTTTCTGATAGATATTGATGTTTTTCATAATCCTATTCGCTCTGACCCCAAGATCCTAACCCTGCACAGAACTCATCCACTTAGCATTTATGTAGGAGATGAGGGCAACCTTTTTTTCTTTGATTGCCTCTGTTCACATTTATCTATATTGAATTCCATCTCCATTTTGTGCTTGTGACTCATTAAAATCCATTCCACTTGACATAGAGCTATTGGAGGGGGTCCAGAGGAAGCCACGAAGGTGCCCATCCTTCCCCCAAATCCCACTCCACACATCTGTATCCTGTTGCCACTTCTAATGGGTTGGGATTGGGATCAGGGTTGGGGTTGGGTTAGGGTTGGATTTGGGTTGGGTTTAGGGTTGGGTTTGGGGTTAGGATTGGGGTTGGGGTTAGGGATGGGTTAGATTGGGATTGGGATTGGGATTGGGGTTGGGGTTAGGGTTAGGGTTTGGGTTGGGGTTGGGGTTCGGGTTGGGGTTAGGGTTAGGGTTGGGATTGGGTTGGGTTTGGGGTTGGGATTAGGGTTGAGGCTGGAGTTGGGGTTGGGACTGGGATTGGGGTTAGGGTTAGTGTTTGGTTTGGGTTTGGGGTTGGGATTAGGGTTGGGATTGGGATTGGAGTAGGAGTTGGGGTTGGGGCTGTGGTTGAGGATAGGGTTTGGGTTGGGCTTGGGGTTGGGATTGGTGTTAGGGGTTGGGATTGGGTTAGATTTAGGGTTAGGGTTGGAGTTGGGGCTGGGGTTGAGGTTAGGATTTGAGTTGGGGTTGGGTTAGGGTTGGAGTTGGGGTTGAGATTGGGATTGGGGTTGGGGTTGAGATTGGGATTGGGGTTGGGGTTGGTGTTTGGGTTAGGGCTAGGGTCTTTTCTGTGTGTGTCAGGCAGTAAGAAACAGGTAGGCTTGAAAGGTGGAAGTGTTGTTAGCAACCTACTGACGTTTTTTTCAGTTCCTGATACTTTTGCTGTTTTGGGGAAGTCCCAGAGCTGCAGCGAGGCTTAACTTGAAAACTAAGGTACTAAATGGGGCTAAAATTGAGTTGCAGACTGAGAATAAACCAAACACTCTCCAATTTACAAAACTTGCACTGAATGGTGATTGGACTTTCTTCCAACATTCCTTCCAACTCGGGATGTTCCAGTTGCTTGTTTTTCTCAGAGGCTTCTGCTGGTGGAGCTGTGTTGGCCTGAGCAGCTCAGGGAAGGGCCATCAGCCCTGCATGGTACCTCCTGTTGTGCTGGAAGGTGTCAGGAGGGACTCTGCACGCCGTTACCCAGCATGGAGGTTATCAGAAGGGTCAGCAATCACTTCCCTGTGGTTAACATTGGATTTCAGCTGCTTAAAGCCATGGCTGGGGGCTGCTGATCAGATCCTGGTGCCAAGGGAAGGCCGTTGGTTTGCCTAATGGTTAACTGAAATAAATGGAATTTGTACAGTGTTAGACACGTGGTATTCCATTGTTGGGGGCATTTTCTATCTCAGCCTTTTATGTATTTTCCCTCTTGAGGGGAGCAAACTACATTGCCAGTTGTCTCCACATTCGAAATTACAAAACCATCACTGGTTCTGTAAAGCCAATAGAAAACCTTTTCCTTATTAACTTCCTTTCGCTGCACAAATGGTCAGTGGGGCTTGTAGCCATGTTACAAAAGAATCCAAAACAGAGTAGTCTTTAATTAAATATCAACTGGCAAAGTGCACAGAAATTTCCCTGCTGGGGGAGCAGGTCACAAAGAGCAAAGCAGAGAGGGATGAGAGGTGAGGGGCGTATAAACAGGAGGGGGAACGGCTGTTTGTGAGGGTGGATGGTGATAGGACAAGGGGGAATGGCTTTAAAGTGAGACAGGGGAGGTTTAGGTTGGATATGAGGAGGAAGTTTTTGAGCCAGAGGGTGGTGAGGCAGAGGAACAGGTTGCCCAAGGAGGCTGTGGATGCCCCATCCCTGCAGGCATCCAAGGCCAGGCTGGATGTGGCTCTGGGCAGCCTGGTCTGCTGGTTGGTGACCTGCACATAGCAGGGGGTTGGAACTGGATGAGCATTGTGCTCCTTTGCAACCCAGGCCATTCTAGGATTGTACAATTCTTCCAGCTGTGTGATGTACCTGCAAGCTCCTGCCTCGACCCTCAGCCATCCCTGCGTGCCCTTGGCCATGGCCTGAGAACCTCAGGGAGCACTGGGTGTGGTGGAGCCTCCTCTGCTCTCTCCAGCTTTGGGATTTCAGCCCACTCTAGTCATTTCTTCCTACCTTTGCCTGTCACTTCTCACTCCCACGTACACCCTTTGGTCTCTCAAACCAATTAGATTCCAATTTGGAAAACAGCAAGGTTCTTCTTTCAGTGACCATTCTGTCATAGTTCACGTATGTTTTGATTCAATCTTTTTTCCAGTTTTCTTATTCTCTTTTGATTGGTGTTTGCAAAGCACTGCGGAGGTGTGCAGCCTTATCTAAATGCTTTCCAATGACGCAGCCCTGGAGAAGTTAATGAAGTCACATCAGAACTGAGTTTCCCTCATTGTGTTGAGAGGAGCACTGTTTATGTAGAGACTGAGGAGTCAACGTGAAAAACATGATAAAGAAAGGTTTGAGTGGAGGGATGAGACCAGACTGCAAATGTGCAGCTCGCCCTGGGCTGAATAAAGGTGGTTCTGAAATCTATTCTCTCACACTGCTGATCCCAATAGGAGTGCAGTCCACTTTGGTTCTGGTTCTATTTCAGATCTTTTAGAACCGGGCTGTGTTGGCATTTCCTATGAGGCTGTTTGCTTGCTGTGTTTGGTTAAAGCATGATAAGAGGAAGCCTGTCTGTGCTCCCCAGCTCTGTGCACAGCAATCCCTCCTTTTAGGCTCCAGGCATTCATGTGAGGAGCATTTTCCTTTGCAGGAGCTTTGAATTTTAGGCACACGTTGGCCACGGTGTAAAAGATAGTACCGAGTGAGGATAGCTCTATTTCTCATAGTGATCTATTTAATTTCCCTGCTTCCAGTTTCAAGGCTGTATTCAGATCTTTGTGTCTAGGATTAATTTGACTTGGCACACTGCGCTGTCTGTCTCCCAGGAGCAGCTGATTATTTACAATGAATTTCTTTTTCCTTTTCTCCCTATGGCTTGTAGCAAAGAATTTGCTCTACCTGACTGCAGATAATATCCAAAGAGCAGAAGTATTTTAAGAATGAGTGGCAGAGGTACCTGTAATGGGAGGAAACCACCTTACCATGAGTCCCCAGCCGTTGTTTAGCGGGGCATTGCTGGCTCACAGCTGAAATGGAATAGTTTTAAAGTGAGACAGGGGAGATTTAGGTTGGATATGAGGAGGAAGTTTTTGAGCCAGAGGGTGGTGAGGCACTGGAACAGGTTGCCCAAGGGGGCTGTGGATGCCCCATCCCTGCAGGCATTCAAGGCCAGGCTGGATGTGGCTCTGGGCAGCCTGGGCTGCTGGTTGGTGACCTGCACACAGCAGGGGGTTGGAACTGGGTGAGCACTGTGCTCCTTTGCAACCCAGGCCATTCTATCATTCTGTGATGTAATAACATTGGATGCTGAGTGGTGGCACTGCCTGTACAGCTGTGCAGCTTTGGTGTGGTTGGTATGGAAGGGAATTTGAGCTGGAGAGCTTATGGGGAGAAGACCAGATTGGATGTCTGTTAGAGCAGGCGTGCTTTGGTCCCCCTTTAATAAACAGCATTTTAAATCTGTTTTTATATTAAAAATGCTTTCTGTTTCTCTGTGTACATGTTTATTTTTGTATACCCAGAAAAAAAAAGACAGCAATAATACATAATTTTTTCTGAATGAGAGAATAGAACTGGTAGTGAGATCTGCTATGTACAGCTGTGTAATTACAGCTGCTGATGGTATTCTAATATGCACAAATCTTTCTAATATGCATAAACAAGCCCCAAAACAATACCAGTACAACACCAATGAAGGTGTGTGTTAATTAAAGTACAAAATGGGACTTATTTCTTTTTTAGCCATACTTGTGCCTATGTTTTTAAGTCTCTCATTAGTTCCATGTACACAGTTGAGCATCCAAACAATCCTGTGGCTCTGGGCAGCCTGGTCTGGTGGCTGGGGAGCCTGCACATAGCAGGGGGTTGAAACTAGATGATCATTGTGGTCCTTTGCAACCCAGGCCATTCTGTGATTCTATGATTCTGTCGTTGAAGGATTCAGGGAGCTGCACAGGGCAGATCAGATGTGTTCCTGAGCTCCTCCCGCCTGAGCTGCAGGCAGTGCTGGCAGTGGTGAGGCTGAGAGCAACCAAAAAAGTGTCGGGAGTGAAGATGTACGGTAAGCACAGATGGAAGGAGCCAGAGCCAGAAAGGAGACAAAGGGGTAGGGACTGGAATTTTGTCTCTGGTGAAAGAAGAAATGAATGGCGAAGGGCTGCGGAACAGCATAAAAAATGAGATGATGGGAACGGCTGATCCAGGTCTGTGTTGGCAGGCCAAGGTGAGGAGTTAGAGATGGATGAGAAGGGGGAACTGCTGAGCTGTGAGGTGTCAGAAGTTGGAGGGGGAAAGAAAAAAAAGGGTAAAAAAAGTGAAATGTGAGACGCGTGTTCAGGAGATTGAGTGCATCGTTGGTGTTGGGAATGCAAATGTAGAAATGCTGGGGTAGGATGGAGTGGAGAGAGGAGGGAGGGCTGAGGTGAGATGCATCCCAGGTGAGAGCTCCTACGTGGGCCTTGGGAATGGGAGACAGCACTGCTGAAGGATGAGGAATAACTGAGAGCGAGCAAGCATGCAGAGAGGAAGAGCTGAAAGCTATTTGGAAGGTTTATAAAGTGTAGAGGGACCAGCAGGCGGGTTGATCCTGCAGGAGCTTCCACCAGAAAAGGGAGAAAGCCAATGGAGCTGATGGGAGTGCAGAGTGCCTGAGAGCTGGGGAGGAAGGAGGAGTGTGGAACTGTAAGCAAAGACCAAATAATCACAGCTTAATTACAGCCAGGAGAGCCGTAATGAAGGCAGCATACATATGATGAACATATGTTCAGCCTTCACTCGGCACTTCTGTCTGTGAACTCTTTTCAATGAGGAACGGCAACAGTAATATCAGTTATGTAAGGAGGGTTTTATTAATCGCTTTCAAGCAGGCAGGGACTGCCAAGAAACTGCTTTGAATTAAAGATCAGCGTGAAGTCTTTCAGTTGTCGTCATCCTGATGGAGAGGAGGTCATAGAATGATAGAATGGCTTGCAAAGGAGCACAATGCTCACCCAGTTCCAACCCCCTGCTGTGTGCAGGTCGCCAAGCAGCAGCCCAGGCTGCCCAGAGCCACATCCAGCCTGGCCTTGGATGCCTGCAGGGATGGGGCATCCACAGCCTCCTTGGGCAACCTGTCTTATTGAATAGATTTAGATAACAACAGCTGGTTTGAGCTGTGTGGAGGGTTGTATTTGAAGTGCTGTCCTAGTGCTTGCTAAGAATAAATTCCATACTAACACAAGGAAGAACCTCACTGTCAGAGTGACGCAGCGTGGGAATGGACAGCCTGGAGGGGTGGTGGAGTGTTCTCTATGGAGATACTGAAGATGCATCTGGATGCCAGCCTTTTCGACCTGCTGTAAGGATCTGATTTGACTGGGCTTGGGCTCGGTGGTCTCCAGATGTCCCTTCTCTTTGATAGGACTAGAGGGAATGGTTTTAAAGTGAGACAGGGGAGGTTCAGGTTGGATATGAGGAGGAAGTTTTTGAGCCAGAGGGT